TTTTGGTTTTGTTCGTTCTATTTTTGTCAGTTGTTTCTATATTTTGATGAGTAATTCAATTCTGCTTTTTCCATTTGCGCAATTTTTTTTCATTGTTTTTCTAGCTCCGCAGCTTCCCGATTTTCACTTGTCATTACAAAATAATGGTGTTGTTCACCTGAGTTTTGCATTTTGGGTAGGTATTTGTTGGGACAGTGGCAAAACTATAAATATTTTTAAGGCTTACTAAAAGATTTCTGTTTGGTTCGACATCCACGATCACTCATCAACCTCAAAAAACTTCTAAAATTTTTGCGTAGTTGATGAAAAGCATAATGGTTCGTTTTCATTTTAATACTCAACAATAATCTTTGTAGCTTGTACAAACTAATAAATTTATTATTAGGTGCAAGGATACAAGGCAAGGATGCAGGTATTTACGATTCAGTCAGTCCAAATATTTCGTACTTCATATGTACGGAACGATGATCATCTCAAATGGCTCGCTGTTCTTTCGAGGGCATCGGACACTGTGTTATCCACTTTGGCTAGACTAAATGGGCACAATCCACATATCTCAAAACAATTTCATAACGTGGATTTATATCGATTCGGTAAAAGTGTTGCAAATATAGGCGGCCACATCTGTTTTAGTATCGTTTTTGTCAAATTGTTTGTCCGCCATTCGGAGACAGCTTTACTCCTCATAGCTTTGACAGACCGAAATGAATTGATGTCAGGTGGTCGCAATAGTTCCGTTGCATTCAAGTTAAAGGCTATGAGTATTATGCCTTGAAATTTGGGCAAAATGGCGTCAGCTCAAGATGGCTCTTATGACCATCTTCACAAAGAATCACTGAAAAAATGACATTTTATTGTAGGACTAATGAAAAACGTTTTATTTGTAATTGATAAAAAGTTCTGATAAGTAAACAACGTTCGTAACACAGTAAATACCCCTCTCTGTAGACACTAACTTTTGAATGTCTAATCGCATTTTCTATGTGGGGTAAATAATCATAGATGGTGTTGTTTTATCGTCTACTCCACAGAATAATGATGCAAGACTTCGATTAGGTTTTTTATTCAAAAACCCCGTACCATTGCCATTTTTATGACATCTTCTTGACGTAAAGACTTCTTGGAAATCTTTTTCTACTAGAGTCTTTAGTCCATTTTACTAGCTGGCTTCTTTCCTAATTTTTTTCTATTTATTTGATAATAATTTTACAATATTTAGATTGGTATTTTACAGTGTAAACATAAGCTTTACAACTTTACCGTATACCGATGCCATCAACATTCATAGCATGATAATTATTATCCCTAATAATTACGTAATACATCATAATGTTGTGATGCACGCATTGAACCGCGCTCCCCGTACAGTCAAAAAACCGGTTTGCTCTCGGTGTCATTACATGTAATTAGATAAGCTTCTTAGTTTTTATGACTACTTATTTAACGGGAACTGCAAAATCGCAAATGTGGAATGTTTGTGCGGCAGTTATTTTTTCCGTACCATTTTTATACGATAAAATAATGTTTAATATGCTTTAATGAGGTAAAATAAAAAGAATTCATAGAAACCTTACCTAAAAATTACTTTTTTGTCTCAAAATCTAGCCACAAAACTTAACTTTTAATTAATGGACTTGTCCAAACACATTTTTAAAATAGGAAGATAGCTGACTGTTTAAATATAAATATGTGTTGTTAATATAAGAAATTATGTATCCTAGCAATATCTGTGTTGATGTGATATAGAAAAAAGAAAAACGTCTTAATGTTCAGATTGAAAAAGAAACGTTTAAAACATTGATACTCGTACTGTTTACCCTATCTCGTTTAATTTGTCCTTATTACATTAGACCCACAAATATTTCGAAGACATGTGAAGTTCGCCAACACGCACTGGGGCAGCGCGGCGAACATTTCCTTGTCCTAAAACCCTCTCAGAAATGAGAGGAGGCCTGTGCCCAGCAGTGGGACGTATATAGGCTGTAACTTTACTTTACTTTTTTACATTAGACCCACTAGTACGTTTTTATTCATTATATCAAATAAATTACAGCGTGTCGAAAGTCCACCGCTGAACTTAGGCCTTCCATGGTGGTTGTTTAATTAAACTTTAAACCGAGATATACCACCACTGCAAGACATCAAGAAATAGTAACCTCATTCTCCGTAGGTCGGACCAATATTAAAAGTTAAAAACTGAAGGTACTCCAGGTTAAGTTTGACATCGGGACGTTAAACATCTCAGTCCCCCTGTGACTATGGCCAGCGCCACACTTGACGGAAATTCCGATGTCGAACTTCCGCGGAAGTAAATTCGTTACCATACGTTGCAGCCACACTGAATATTCAGTGGCAGATTATCAGTTGACTGCCAACGCTTATACGGTGTGGTCGTAATGGATCCGATAGAAGTGATAGCTATTTATGAGGCATTAGAAAAAGAAAGAAAAAGAAAGCGTAAATATTGGGTTCATCCCTTAAATACTCTTCGACTAGAAATTGGGCAATTTCATACTTTGTTAGACATAATCCAGATAAAGCATTCGAATATTATCGAAAGTACATACAATCATTTGATGTATTGTTGAATTTAACGAAGGACTATATTACCAAGCAAAATACAAAACTTAGAACGGCTATATCTCCTGAAAAAAGACTGATCTTTACATTAAAGATAAATATTAATAGTGTATATGAGACAAATTATTTATTATGATTAATCAAATCTTTAATTTTAAAAGAATTGATTTGCTGGACCTATTCTGAAATATTTCCTCTTCCTCAATTGAGTGTGCTGTTTTAGTTTCAGCTGATTGAATTGGATGAACTTGAGTTTCAATAGATTCGGGTGACTGTATGGTCGAATAGGAATTTGTACTGTTTGTATTCGTAGTATATGGTTGGTACACCGGCGATGACCCACCTGCTATATGTGTTGTAGGTGATTGTTCGTATGTACTATAGCTAGGATGGTTGTAAGAATACGTTCGATTATGTGATATATTGTATGGGTTACCATATTTGATTTTATAAATCAAATTCATCACTTCGATTCTGAACTCACAATTTTGTCTTTCATTCGTGTCGGCATCTTCAACTTCTTTAAGTGATTGTTGCTTTTTATTCATTGCTGTAATTAAACTCTGTTGAAAAACTGTCATTTTAGGTTTTATTTTTATTTGAGAGGTCCCTGGAACTTCATCAGTTTGAGGTGGATTCAAATTCTCAATTACAGTTAGTTGTGAGTTTGCATTACTTGATAATTCATCACAAGAATTTTAATTGTGGCGTCCTATCCGGCTTTTCTCTAGAGTCTATTTTACACTTCGATAATAAATCGTTCAGTGTCGAACATCCCGTGTGTGCGATGTTGCCGATCTTACGCCGACGGAAGATCGGTGCGCAGAGGACGGAGCAGACGCGAGAGCGAGCGGTCCGCCACGGAGCGACCGATCGTCCGCGACGGAACGACCGATCTTCCGCGTAGTGTGCCCGCTATTTGTAATTTATATGCAATAACATGTATTGACGTTCCGTTGGGAAAGATCCGCGTCGGAATTTCCGTCAAGTGTGGCGCTGGTCTATGAGTGCTGTAATGCACCCGAAACGTTCGTCCAAAGATCGGTGATCCACTGCAACGTAATACCCCTTATTCCTATTTTTTCCAATATATTTAATAATAGATCATGTGATACGTAGTCAAATACCTTAGTTAAGTGAAAAAACAGTCCTATAGTCAAATAATTATCAATAATATAGGTCAACAATGTTTTTGGAAGCCATATTGGATTTTATTTATAATGTTAAATTTATTGTAAAATTCTAGGAGCCTTTTATACATACACTTTACAAATACTTTTAAAAGTGTAGGTACCAAGGTAATTTGGCGATAATTGCTAACGACGTTCCTGTTGCCATTTTTGTGTATAGGCTTCACAGTGGAGAACTTTAATGTTTCTGGGAAGCTTCCTAATGAGAATGACAAATTGACAAGATGAGTCAATAATATGTGAATTATTTCATGAGTTGATTGTTTCTACGTAAATATAAACAGTCATTTGAGTGGAGAGCTGTGTCATTATATATTTTCGAGTGGAAGACACCTTTAGCCACCTGAGATCTACTTGTTTGGGATTTACTGTACTTTTTCTTTTGTTTCCACTCTGAAATTACAGATAATAATTAAAAATAACTAAATATAATTTAACTTACCTGTTGTAGTGACGTGTAGCCCCCACGACAATAGGTATATATGGAAGTTTCCATAATATTTGTCTTCATTTTCTAATTGACTTTATAGATACAATAATCTTCATGAAATAATAATATTGTAGTCTCTTCTCGCTTCTCAGTTTTTGGTTTTATTATCACATCCGGTATTGTATCAATTCAGTTAATTTTTATTCAATTATACTTCCATTATTATTTTTTCAACAATTTTTGCAGGCCGCGGTGGTGCGCGTGCATAGTCGCAGCGCACCGCCTGGCAGGGTCGCCATGTAATGTAGGAAAGGTGCCAATGAAAGAGAGGCGCGTTACTCTGGTTATGACTTTAATTAGACTAGCACTTTATTATAAACTTAACTCTAATATATACCTGTTGTCGCGGGAGCTACATGTCACTACACTGTGTACAAATTAATTTAAAAAAAAACTTTTTTTATTACAGGGTAATAGATCTTAACTCTAAGGGCCTATCTAATAATCATTATAATGCCGTTCATAGTTCGTTCTCGGTCCCATCTCGGTCACATCTCGGTCTCATCTCAGTCTCAAAGAATATTATCAAGTAAAACATATGTGTGTGCATTCATACTATCCGTAACAGTCAAGTTTCGGTCGAATCCCATTCCATTATAATAAATCTGACGGAGATCGGACTGAGAACGAACTGTGAACGGCAAATGAGTATTGGCCCTAATGTATACCTATTGTCGCGGGGGCTACATGTCACTACACTGTGTACAAATTAATTTAAAATAAACTTTTTTGTATTACAGGGTAATAGATCTGAAGACTTTCATGTGGATCAACAGAAAGCCAGAGACGATGCAAGAAGCCTGTTGCAAGCCGGTATGTTTTGTTGCACATTTTCTATATAGTATGAAAAATGTTTGAATATTTTTGTTATTGAAAACCAAAGTTCTTTAGCGTGTAGCCGGTTATAAATATATAAAATTACGTTCTCGGAGTCCTTTTCTTATAAATATTTTAATAACAGGATAATTTATTAAGTTATGTACAATCGACAAAGGGTCTTAGTCTTTCGGCTTTATTAAAAAAAAAAAAAACATTAACAAATATCTCAGGTTTAAACTGGACTAGCAATGAATATTGTACCAAATATTCTGCGAGCTTCCTGGCCGAATAGCCGAATATTAGGCAAAACTTTTCGGCCGGGAAGGAAGCAGTGTTTATTCCGAGTCGTCACTTACGACACCCTCGGAACGGTATAAGGCCGGCAACCTTTTAAGTCGGAAGAGTCAAAAATTACAATTAACAAAATTTCAAAGTTTTTAAAGAACCACAAATTTTTTTTTGCCAACCATAAATAGTACTTGCATAAATAAAGTTTTTGATAAAATAATTTATCTGTTTATTCATAACTTTTTTCTAAAAAAATAAAAAAGCAATAACATACATTTGAACAAACAAATCAATGAGAGCGTTGGCATTGTATGGTTTTAAAAAGTTTGGATAAATTTGGCTCATAACTCATTGTTTTAAGTTTCAAACACGCCGAGCTGCAGCTTCACATCCAAAGAGCCGCAAGTTGCCGGCCCCTGGTATAGGGTAGTGGATATACTTTCATCGCCGTAACGGAGACTATTTTATTTAACTGAGGCATGGTACGCGTGGGGAAAAGAAAAGATACGTCTTCACCGTACGTCGGTCGTTTATTGAGTCCCAAATACAATCATTTCTTATAAAATCTAACTTATGCTAAACGCGCTTGCGCAGCAGAGTCACACGGGACTCGCGCATGAAATATAAAACTTCTAGGTAATGCACTACATCTCCCCCGAAAAGTAAGGGGTACCTCACTACCCTCTTTAGGAAAAGAAAAAAAATGATTAGTGTACATATAACTTAAGACTAATAACATAATGAATGTATTAGTCTTAAGTTATATGATATTAGTGTACATATAACTTAAGACTAATAACATAATGAAGGTACTTATCTGAAAAGCAAACATTATTTTTTTGATTACAAAGATAAACATTACAATTGAAATGGCTTTGTGTTATTTTTATAAAATAATTTCTTTGTTATTTTTCAGAAATTTTACATTAGGTGGTAATTCTTCCAAAACTTTATAAGGTCCTTCATACAAACAATCTAATTTGTTACCTGTTTGGTTTTTTATTAAGATCAAATCTCCTGGCTTATATTGTACTTTATTACATTTTTGATCATACTTAATTTTTCTTAAATTTTTACTTATTAACAAATTTTCCTTAGCATCCAACTGTGCTTTTTGTAAACGGTACTTTAACTCCTTAGGATAATCATCGAAATTATACAGTGGGTCAACATGTGTTGATAAATTACTAGGAATATTACAAATTTTGCCGAAAACTAGTTCGTATGGAGTATATTTTGTTTTTGAATGAACGCTTATATTGTAACAAAAACACCAAAAAGGAACCCATTCGCTCCAATCTGACTTGTTATTATTGCACTGAATTCTGAGGTAAGCGCCTAAATGTTTATGTGTATTTGAATGCCTCCTAAGGTTTCATGATGATAAGGTGTTGAATGGATTTTTTCTATATGTAGCAATTTGAAAACTTCGGACATAAGTGATGAGGTAAATTCGGTCCCCATGTCACTTAAAATTTTTCTTGGAATTCCATAACGCAAAATAAAATTATTAACGAAAGACCTAGCAACACTTTCACTATCCTTTCTAGGTAAAGGATAAGCCTCTACAAATTTGCTTAAATCACACTGGATTGTTAAAATATACTTATTATTATAGTTATCTATATCTAAAGGGCCCATAATATCTAAATTAACCTGTTAAAACGCTGAGTTAGCAGTTGAAGTGATTGTCAGAGGATCTCTAATATTTCTGTTAGTATGCTTTTGAACTTGACAACTTTTACATTTGCGGACATAGTTCATGACGTCATTGCTCATACCTGGCCAGAAATAATATTTTTTAATATTATTTAACATACGATTCATGCCTGCATGACCACTTGTTGGTAACAGGTGAAAGTCATTAAGTACCGTGGTAATTTCTTCTTTATTATTTATTCGCTTAATGTCTTTAATAATCAAAAATCGTGGTGACGCTATCTTATACATTTTTATGCTGCGCAGCAAACTCTTAATATTTTTCTCATTACTCTTGTTTTTAATTATGAGTAATTCTTTTATATTTAATTTTATGCACATTTTTTCTAGATCTCTCGCTAACTCTTCTAGAGACGATAACGATCGAGAATATAGGAATATGGTCGATAACGACGGGTTATACGTGCAAAGTTTAGCGTCGGACAAAATATTATACGCATTATTCAAATGTTTTTCGTTACTATTTCCTGGAAAACGCAACTTTTTTATGTCATTGGGTCGTTTTAACAACTCTACAGTAGTAGGTTGATCAGGCCTACTAACTGGAGGCTGTTTGTCTATCTGTCCGGTGTCCGTTTGGGGCTCTAACTTTTTCCTTTGAGCTCTAGTTAAAACGGATACTACTTTTTCCTGCATTTCTTTCAAATCGCGTGACGTCACCGGGAGTCGGCTTAACGCATCTGCAGCTGCGTTATTTCGCCCTGGGACGTATTCTACTTCGAAGTCGTATTCTTCAAGGTATAGTCGGAATTTTGTTAAACGACTAGACGGGTCTTTTAAACCGAATAAGTGAACAAGGGGTCTATGGTCCGAAAAGATTTTAAATTTTCTGCCGTACAAGTAAGGCCTAAAGTGACGGACTGCCCACACGATAGCTAATAATTCTAATTCTATTATTGGATATCTAGTTTCTGCCGGGTTCAAACTCCTACTAGCGTAAGCGACAACCTTTCCATTACTATTTGAGAGTACGGCGCCTAAGCCTAACTTAATGCGTCTGTCTGCAACTGAAATGTGTTGTTTTCCGAAAAGTCGGGATAGTCCAACACTGGAGGGTTCGTTAAAGCAGATTTTAATGTAATAAACGAACTTTCGCAATCTTTAGTCCACTCAAATCTAATACCTTTTTTTAGTTAATGCATTCAATGGGAACACAATATCAGCAAAACGTGGAATAAACCGACGATAATAGTTGGCGAACGCGACGAGTCGTTTTACTTCGTCAGCAGAAGTCGGGCGTGGGTAATTACGTATGGTGTCAATTTTACTGGGATCTGGGAATATTCCGTCTTGAGTAATTTTATGACCTAAATAGACTATTTCTTTTCTTAAAAATTCGCACTTAATTGGGTTTAGTTTGAGATTAACTTTTCTTAATCGATTCAATACGCTAATGAGATTTTTGTTATGAATATCGATACTAGAACCGATTACGACGCAATCATCTAGGTATAAAAAACATTTTTCGTAATTTAGGCCTGCCATGGCTATAGTCATCAGCCGAGAAAAGACACTAGCACTTGTCTTGAGACCCATTGGGCACCGCTTCATTTGATACTGTTTTCCTGCCGTAAAAGTAGTGTACTTTCGTGACTCATTATCTAAAGAAATCTGATACATTTTATTTAATGTAAAAGAAGTATATTTACGGGAACTTGGATTTAAGGACAATTGATAATAAGATTGGGAGAGGTCTAATTTTGAAAAATAAATACTGCCTGACAATGAATCAAGTATCTCCGTTATATTGGGAAGCGGAAATTTGTCATCTTGAATTCGATCGTTTAATTTCCTGTAATCTATGACCAATCTCCATTTTCTTTCGTTATTTTTAACGACCTTTTTGGGTACTAAAAATACTGGGCTAGACCATTCCGAAACGGTTTCCTCAATGATGTCGTTTTTTAACATTTCCTGAACTTGTTTTTCTATCTCACCTTTTAACGCCTGAGGAACCCTATAAGGCTTAGAATAAACTGGGGTCACGTTATCTTTTAAAACTATGCTATGTTCCATTAAGTTCGTAACTGATAACGAATCACCTGGTAAATGGAAAACATCTGCGTATTTGGCACAGATTTGTTCAATACTGAGCCTTTCTTCCCTATTTAAATAACTCAAATCAAGTAAATCGAATAAAGTTTTTATTCGCTCAACAGTTTTTTCTTCGCTTTCGAGGTGGCATACCTCGAAGTTACTAATGGAATGGACATTGACCTTTGAAAAATCTATCTCAATATCCTCATTTCTCGTATTCAACACTCTAATAGGAATACTTTTATTTAATGGTTTAGCTAACATTCCTGCGATAAAAATCCCTTCCTCAATTTCTTGAGCTAAAATAACGCTATCTTCGCTTAAAGTGCAAGGAGTATGTTTGATGACTTCGCAACGGGCGGGTATGACGTGTCTATACCTATCACTCCATCTACCCATATTAAGACAAACTACGGAACCCTGATTCGATAACTGTAAGGTTCGTGTTTCGTAGTTGATTATCGCATTATAACGCTTAAAAAAATTATCGTCCAATATACCGTTAGCAAAACAAGAGAGATTCTTAAAAACGTAAAATTTCTCTCTAAAAGTTATGCCATTACAAACTAAATCTAAGTAAATATAACCGTCTGAAATTAATTTACCACTAACGCCCTTAATTGTTATTTTATCATAATGTAACTCATTCAAATACTCCTGGTTATCGAGGAGCCACTCATATTTCATAACACAAATGCTCGCGCCCGTATCTACTAAAAGACTTACCTTGCTATTATTACTTACATTTAAATCTACTACATTGTTTATGTTATAATTACAAACGAAATGATCACTAATTGTAGGGGCGAAAAAACTCACTATTCGGTGCAGATTTAGTGCGTTCCACGCTCTCAATGTGCTCCGATTGTATCTGAGAAACGCGGGCGTTTACATTTGGGCGAGATGGGTTGTACCGACCTCGGCCTCGCGAAGTACCCCGTTGGTACCTACCACGATTGAGCCCTCGAGAGTTACCCCTGTAAAATGTCCTGGAATTCGATCCGCTTTGCGCTCTCTGATGGTTATAATTAGTATTTGAGCTAGCGTTATTAGGGCCTCTTTTATTTCTATTAAACTGATTGTCACGACTGCGGTAAATGTTCAACACATGCTCGTTACGAGCTGATGATGTGCTCTCGTCCAGCGCGGTTTGAATCCCTTCTGGAAGAGACTGGAATTGTCGGGAGGCTATGATAATGCTCAAACGCGAATCTGATAATCCGTCTGCGAAACGCTTAATCGCAATTTTCTCGTTCAAAGGACGAAGTGTTTCGTATTTTTTGTCATCACCGTCAGCCTGTGCTATAGTCAAGTTGACGAACAACTGTTCTAACTCAGAGCCGAACTTATCAATAGACCTACGGCCTTGGCTTGCGCTATTAAGCTGCGATTGCAATGCTACCGCGGATTTCTTCTGAATTAAGTGAGTGCGCATATCTAAAACCAAACTACTCACGGACTCGTAGCTAGGTTTTAACCTCAGCTTGGCGCTAGGGGTCAGTCTAGTTTTCAAAACGAAATCAATTAATTGTTTTTTGCCATTTTCGTTAAGCATATCACTATACATCACAATACTATCTATCAGTTGAGTAGTAATATTTTCGTGGCCTGTCATTATTGGCAATAGGGCTATTGCCGTTTTTAAATCAAAGGCGCCCATGCTGGCTGAGTTATTGGAACTTTCTGATTCACGAGACGTTAAATTTAAAATATTACTGTACAAGATATGTATGTCGTCTATGCATCTATTAATAACCTGAAAATCATCGCTACTTATCTCAGAATTCTCTATTTTTAGTTTGATTTTAGACGAAATATACTCCAAACGACTGTACAGATTTTTCGCTTCACTAACCTTTTCTTTTGCTGTATCGGAACTCTCTCTACGTTTTGGTCCGATTTTCACTAGATAATCTCTAATTTCTTTTAAACTACTGTACACATTATTTAGATCAGCCAGTGACATTGAAAAAATCGACAAATATAATTTCTAACAGTAAAGGAAAAGGAAACTATTATTTACACACCATGTAAAAACACTTAAAAATTATAATTTCACTTACTTGTTAAAATATCACGTACATACTAATTACAAGGGCGGGGCGATGGTGTTTGTGGATGTAACCATTTTTAGGGCGGCGCGAGCAAGCGGGAACAGCACTGCAAACAGGATGTGTGGCTGCATGAGGTCATCTTCTTGAAGCGGGCCGGGTATTACCCTGGACACCTCTTGATGTTGGGCCGGGTATTACCCTGGACACCTCTTGAGATCTTCTAGTTAGTTGTAGGGCGGGCGATGTTTTCAAGCGAGATTGCGTTGAGTTCTCGCCTCAGAGTTTTCACGGAACTCTTCCTGCATTTTTTCATCAGGTAATAGATAACTGCTGCAGCCAGTATAACCACGGATACAATCATGAGGGTTTGTATGATGTGGTTTGTGTGAGCGTCTTCTAGGCTTGTATTTGCGGATGCTGCACCATTTGCGTTTTGTGCTGTGACTACTTCTTTCGACTGCGATTTTCCCATTTCGTACCTTTATTTCTCTTTGGATTTCTGGCGTTTCTTCTTGGTTTTTTTTTGTTTTCTTCAAAATAGGGCGCTTCTTTTTTCTTTCTTCAGAATTTGTGCTTCTTTCTTCTATATGGTTTTCTTCATTCTTCTGTAAGGTTTTCTTCTTTCTTCTATAAGGTTTTCTTCTTTCTTCCGAATTTGGTTTTTTTTGCACTGGTTTTTCACTTAGTGGGTAATTTCTTTGGCATCCTGGCAGGGTCGCCATGAGGCATGGTACGCGTGGGGAAAAGAAAAGATACGTCTTCACCGTACGTCGGTCGTTTATTGAGTCCCAAATACAATCATTTCTTATAAAATCTAACTTATGCTAAACGCGCTTGCGCAGCAGAGTCACACGGGACTCGCGCATGAAATATAAAACTTCTAGGTAATGCACTACATAACATTATTGTCAGCTTTATATTTAATAAATAAAATGTTATAATATGAAAAATGAAAAAAAAAAGCAATGCAATTATAAATACAATTTTCTATAGTCTTTTGCTATATTCTTTTATGATTTTCCCATTTATTGAATTAAACCAAACAAGTAATTGTTATTGTGCGCCATTTAGTGGCGACGTAACAGCATCTACTACTTGGTATCGTCTCGTGGTAATAGTAAACGGCGACAGAGGGATACTTAAACAGGAGATAGGCAGTAGCAAAAACACTGCGGTTGTTAAATCTACCTTTCAAGTGAGGCAATTATGGCTAATACCCCTCTTGTGAGAGCATCTATGGGAGATCCTATGTTCAGCAGACGACTTTTGATGGGCTGTAATGAAAGAAAACGACCCTTTTATACTGGATACGAGGCATTCCATCTTTTTTTTTATAGATAAGGGTGACAAACGAGCACTCAGTCCACCTGATGGTAAGTGGTTACTGCGGCCCATAGACATCTACATCTATCCTCCATTAAAAATCAAAATGCAGATACGTTGTCACCCGTGAGGACTGAGATGGAATGCCTCGTTTCCAGTAAAAAGGAGACCCTTCTCGGTTTCTCCGGTTCGACCGGTTCTCTACACTCACCATACGAAATACAGCAGCATTAAGCTACTATTTCACGCTGGTATTCTGTGAGAGCGTGGTCCTTCCCCGGTCGAGCCGACCCATTCGTGCTACAACTATACTACTAATATAACTGCAGCATGGCTCTACCACGTTTTAGTCCTCATGGGTGACATCGCTTCTGCGTTTTGATTCTTAGTCGAGTATAAATGTAGATGTCTATGGGCCACAGCATCCTCTTACCCCCAGGGGAACTGTGTACTCGTTTGACACCCTTATTCTTTAAAAAGTATTTATTTCAATCTTTTAGAACTATCCTCCTCGCACAAATAATTATTTAATAAAATATTATTTTTTTCTTTGAACAGGTGAACTCCGTCTTGGCACTGACGAATCGGTGTTCAATGCAGTGCTCTGCTCCCGTTCGTTCCCGCAGCTGGCGGCCATTTTCCAGGAGTACCATAACCTCACTGGCCATGACATCGACGACGCCATAAAGGCCGAGTTCTCTGGTGATATGGAGAAAGCTCTGAGAGCGATTGGTGAGTTGAGCTGATCTATTAGTTGAGTAGGTTACTAGAAAAATATAATTTTTCGCAGTACATATTCATGAAAAAAATAGTATTTTAATATACTTAAGAATTTAAAATGTGTACTCTTATTGCTTCGATGTGCCATTATAGAGATCATTCCAGGTGAAGCTTTTTGGCACGACCACACGAGATATTGAGATCAAATTTATAGTTACTAACAAATGAAAATAAATCTTCTCAATATGTAACTGAATACTATATCAGCTGAGCCTACACACCCTACACAGCGGCTCAGACACGTGATATATAACTGAGTCCCGCGGTGAGACCGCGGGGCTCAGCTGTATATCACGTGTCTGAGCCGTGCGAAATGACACTGTTTCTCATCGGATGGATAGGTTTATGCGTCGTTCGCACGCCGAGCCGTGTTGACTTATTAAAATTTTTCGTTATCTCTTAAACTATATGTCGAAATTACATGCTATAAAGAGCAAAGGTTATCTTAATAAAAAAATAAAGTAACTTTCTTTTGTATAGATGAATATGCCTTCTCTAATAATAACGCTCAAAAATCACTTTTTAATTTTCAATTATATTTTGTCACAAAATACATTATGTGTACGAAAAAGGTATGTGGTAGGTATCGCGGACTTTTTTTAGACGGAGTAAAGGTCAATATTTTTAAAACGTTGTATTTACCGTACCACTAACCATTACACCAGCGCTCGCGGATAAAGCAGTTCTGGAGCACTTTTTCAATATTTAAAGCCTGAATAACTATAACTGATGAGTCTGGCTATCTACAAAAAGAATTTTTCGAATCGGGTTAGTAGTTTCAGAGATTAGCGTGTTTAAACAAACAAAATCTCTTCCGCTTTAGTATAGATAGATTTCACAGGTAAATTGAGCAGTTTTAAACATATTAGGAGAAAAAAATGGGATGGATTGTCCTTTCTTTACTTCTCAACTAAGGTCATTTTGTGTTTTTTATTTAATTGTATAATTATGTACACCCACCTCCCTTGGCATTTATTTCCCAAAATGTCACCTAGGGGCCTGCGCTCACAGAAGGCACAGCATGGCATAGCGTGGCGAGGCACACTTCGGTATGCCGAACAATCCTCTGGCATCTCGCGTCATGCCGAAGGATCCTTTGGCATCTCGCAGTATGCCAAACAAGTCAAGATGCACTCGTGCACTCGGGCTACATTCAACCTTTTTTTCAATTACTTAGCAGTATGCGACACGACACGGCATACGTGCCGCCGCATTCCGGGGAATGATGTGACGTGCAGCAGCATGCCGCCGTGTCACGTTAGACGTTTTGGTCTATTCGAAAGGAATGTGAAAAAGGAAAGTGCTAATATCATTAAAATAAAGTCAAAAATCTTTTTTCCATGAAAAAAATCTTTTGATACGCCGTGCCATTCTGTGCCGTCTGTGAGCGCAGGCTTTAAATCAATCGCCCGGGGCTATGACCTTTTGTCTACTGTGCCACTTAGGTTATATGCGGTTAATTTTGTGAGTAAATTCTCAAAAAATTTCCCGTACTCACCAAGCTAGATTCGCACTGCTAATATTCTTCTCATCACCTGTCTGAAAAAACGGGTATAGCGTTTTAGAATAGATTTTCTTTTATTAGTCTATCAGGTAACCAAGTTAGTTATTTTTGTGTAGTTATTTTTTAGTAATAAGTCATTAGCCTTTCAAAGTCCACTACTCTACATAGACCCATTGATTCATTGTCCTCTTTCATCTCTTACGGCGCTGCTCCACGGAAAATCAAAGTCAAAAGTCAGTATATTATTATTTAAAATTGACTTTGTCAATTGCTTTTTATTTTGACTTTCAAAAGTGAAAAACTCTTGTGTAGCATTTTTACCAACACTTTATAGCGACGCATTATAGTTTCGCCTCAATGGGATCTGTTATTTAGATTTATGATGATTTTTTCCCAAAAAATCTTTTAAATTTTCAGATAAAATAGCCTAGATCCTTGCTGTCTTTGCTCTATATCTGCTCGTAAAGTTTCATCACAATCAGCTTCATTTCAGCCATTCCGAAGAGTTAATTTTGATTCATTTTTAATAATTGTTGTTTGTGTCTTAATCATCATCATTACGGCCCTTCACAAGTCCACTGCTGAACATAGACCTCCCCCAAGGTATGCCACAAAGCACGGTCATGAGCCACCTGCATCCATTGACTTCCTGCATGTCTTACCGGGTCGTCACTCCATCTAGTGGGGGATCGCCCTACACTTCGCTTACCGGTACGAGGCTGCCACTCGAGAACCTTTTTTCCCCAACGGTCGTCGGTTTTTCAAGCTGTATGGCTAATCCGTTGGGCTATGTCGGTCACTCTGGTTCTACTGCGGGTATTCTCATGTGCCTTAATAGCTTGCTAATATCACTCTGAGCGTAATAGAAGCCAGTAATTTCATTATTAGAGACACTTCCTTTTTATTTATATGTAAAGATATAATGTAAAATATTGCATCACATAAAATCATGTCGTAGGGCTGTGCAGAGGGAAAATATATGAAAACTTTCGCACAACACATTACACGCGCATACACTACACATACATTACACATTCACTACATACATACGCACTACATGTACTATTTTTACTCTCTTAATTTAAAAATTATGAAAGAAAAAAAATTATGTTGTATACACTTAGCGTTAAATTTAGTACTAAATTTTATGATATGGAAGAGGGGCTTACTTATGATTCGGGCGCATTCCGCGTTTAAAAGAAAAAGTCTACTATGGTATATGTACTTGTGTTTATGAATAAAACCTTCTAATTTTTTTATTCTTTATTTTTATATATATTTTACGATGTTAATAAAATATAAGAAAGCTCTTTAATTAATAATCGCTCTCCCAATACGGATGGTCACCGTGGGAGCAGTAGACCAAAACCCTCCATCCATAAAGTCAAAATAGAAAGCGAAAACAATATTAAAATACATATCGCCACATTTAATGTAAGTTCTCTAGTCGGAGACGGTCGCCAAGAAGAACTAGACCACGCCCTTAGATACATAAAATGGGAAATTATGGGCTTAGCTGAAGTAAAAAAAGAAGGGACTAAAATTTTAGAATATGAACAATATATACTTATTCACACAGGAGTAAAGAGTGGTATAAATGGAGTCGGATTTGTTATTAAAAGAAAATGGAGAGAAAACATATTTAACTATACAAGTATATCTGATAGAGTCGCACGTCTAGATATGAAGTTTGGTCAAAAAATTTTAACTTTAATCCAAGTTTACGCGCCTACATATAAGGCTAAAGAAAGTGAAATTCAACTCTTTTACTTAGAGATACTAAAAGCACTACAAAATTCATCAACATCTACAATGATAATGGGTGATATTAATGCCAAAATTGAACAACCAATGCCCGAAGACAAAAGTAGTATGGGACCATGGGGATTTGGTGACAGATATGAACGGGGTGAGTTATTAATTCAGTTTTGCTTGGATAATCAATTTAAAATAAGTAGTACATATTTCAAGAAAAAATTAAAGAATAGATGGACTTGGGTGTCACCAAATGGTAGAACGCGTAACGAAATTGACTTCATTCTTACAAAAGATATAAGAGAAATGACAAACCTATAAATAATAAATACAACCTATCCATCAGACCATAGACTTGTACGTGGATGCGTCAACATTAAAACTAAAGTAAAAAAGAACAGGAAACAATTTTGTGCTCCAAAAAGACAGTTAACACCAAGTGAAAATGAATTCCTCAAAGGGATGTTTACAGAATTATTAACTAATACTAAAGGGAAAGAAAACTTGCAAGAAAACTACAGAAACCTGACTAATATTATAGAAGAATGTATAAAAATGTTGCCAAAGATAAGTAAAGAAAAATTCCAATTTTGTCCAGATATAAAAGAACTTATTAAAGAAAGAACGAAACTTAAAAGTAAAGAAAAAACACTAAAGAAGAAAAATATACTGTCCAAACTCTACCTCAAAATAAAAAAAATATTAATAAAAAAATTAGAATACCACTTAAAAGTATTAGAAGAAGAGTTATTACATAAAGGCTCTACAAAAAATGCACAAAAACGACTCACTTTATCCAAAGAGTGGATTTCCTCACTAAAAACAAATGATAATGGAAAAACTACAAATAGAGAACACCTTTTAAAAATAGCTACTGATTTTTATAAAAGCTTATACAAAAGTCATAACGTGAACATAACGGATGAATTAATAAATAATAGTTGTATTGTGGACATAAACGATCGTATTCCGCCACTACTACCGTGCGAGATAAGTCATGCCATAAAAAAACTTAAAAGTGCAAAAAGTTCTGGAGAAGATAGTATTTCAAATGATGTTCTGAAAGCGATAAAAGAACCCATCATACCGATATTAAATATTTTCAACGAAATACTCGGCCTCAGTCAAATACAAGAAGATTGGGCAAACTCTACTATCATATTATTGTACAAGATAGGTGATCAATTAAATATCAACAACTATAGACCTATATCCCTATTGCATACAATTTATAAAGTTTTCACAAGTATATTACTTAACAGAATCAAACCCAAATTAGACTACATGCAACCGAGAGAACAAGCTGGTTTTCGTCCCAAATTCTCTACAATGGATCACATCTTTGTTTTGACTCAGATAATGGAAAGATATGAAGAATATAACAAAACTCTTTACATCGCATTTATTGATTATTCAAAAGCTTTCGACTCTATTTACCATGACTCACTTTGGTTGGCGTTGAAATCTCATGGAATACATAACCAATATATAAGAATACTGAAAGAAATTTATAGTCAAACTACAGTAACAATAAGAATGGAGAGACCAGGACAGCCATTTAAAATCGAGAGGGGGGTGAGACAGGGGGACCCGATCTCACCTAATCTATTTACTTGTTTATTAAACTACATTTTCTCAAAACTTGACTGGGGCAAACGAGGCATTAATATTAACGGAGAAATTTTGAGTCATC